TAATAATTAAGAATTAAGAATTCAAAATAATAATTAAGAATTCAAAATAATAATTAAGAATTAACAATTCAGCATTTGCCATTCATTAAAAATTCAGTTTTCTTCAATTAAGAATTCAAAATAATAATTAAGAATTAACAATTCAACATTTGCCATTCATTAAAAATTTCCTTCAAATTAAGAATTCAAAAATTTTAAAAAGAATTTAAAAAACAATTGAACATATAAAATTTAATTAAGAATTTGCATCAGTAAGAAAAGTATTTGCACTTATAAATTATTCTTATGAAATGAGAATTTAAAGTAGTAAATTAAGAATTAAGAATTTACAATCGAGTAAATAACATTCTTAATAAGAATTCTTAATTCTGATGCATTTAGCAGTTATTAACCATGATAATTCTTAAACAAAGTGAAATTGAAAAATTTTGAAATACGTGCTCCTTGTTAATGAAAATTTTTTGATTGAAAAAGTTTTAACAAAAATACAATTCAATGTTAACAAATTTTTATATCAGTTTGCATAATTGGTAATATCAAGAAAAACAATTGAACATTTGCAACATCATTTGCAACTATCGATACATAACATATATGAACATTTTGCCAGATTTGCTATTTTGCAACAAAATGGCAATTCTGGCTAGGCTGTATGACTGGCAACAGTATAACTTTAAAACCTGCCGATTTGGTGTCAATAGACCATTGCATTAGGAGCAAAATATGCCAAAATATTTGATGTTTTATGATTTTGACAGAACTGTCTTGTATATTTTGGCTAGATTTGCAACATTTTCTGTGTTGGATTTCAATTCACATCACAATAAGTAATGTACCTTATGACAGCCAAAAGCTCAAATGTTGCCAGATTTAGGCAAAGTTGTACACTGTTGCCAGACCATACCATAATGGTAATTGAGTGATGTTAATAATAATAATAATAGTAATAATAATAATAATAATGATATAATTAAAATAATTAACTAATATGTACAATTCTCAATAAATAGTCATTAAAGGAACCCATTCCTATAAATTCTTCAGATTAAGCTTTTCACATGAGATTAAGCTTTTAAGTTAATAATCAGCTTAAAACAGATGATGAGCATAGTCTTAGCTCTGTTAGGCTTTGAAAGCTAAATATAAAAGAAATGCAAGAAGAAGTCAAAGTAATTCACAGAAGAGCTTAAAATTCAAATGCCACCATTAAGCTTTCAATTTCGTTTCTTCCATTTAAAAAAAAAACATATAGAGATGGGCTCCTTTAATTAGTCTCATCCCATCTCTCACTTGGGAACAATAAATAAATAATTAATTCAAAATATAATTAGAATATAAAATCAATAAATTAAGCTTATAAATATTTATAACTTTTTATTAAATATAATTATATTTTATATCACTTGGAAAATATCCTGTGAGGCCATGAGGTGATAAAAGTGGCACTTTTTCATTTGATTTCCTTCTTTTTACACTCGTTTTTGTCATTTAGTCATTGTGTTGTTGTTATCAGTAACAGCACTGATTCTTATGTTTTAAGCGATCAAAGTGTTATGGTTATCAGTAACAACACTGATTCTTATGTTTTGAACATCAACATCAGTCAAATAACATTATTAGGCAAATGACATTCTAAGATAACACTCTAATCAAACTGAGCTACAGCCCTCCCCATTCTGGATATTTTCCATTAATAAACATAAAACACATCTTTAATCCTGAAAGCAACATTACAGTCTGATTACCAAGACTATAATCAATTACACAACCAAATGTTTCAATAAATAGCAAGTGAGAGATGGGATGCAATGCAGCAATTAGTCTTAAAACTCTGGCCTAAATGGGACTTCTTATTTTTTCAGCACATTAGCTCTGCTTTCAGCTTATCAAATGACAAAAAATGGATTTTTTTTTCATCTTTGGAAAACTGAAAACTTGGCATTTTAGTTCTGAAAATGTAGAGTATAGCGCCAGAGTTTTAAAGACAATATCAATTATAACTATATACAAAATATTCCCTCGTACCAATAGAGTAATAATACTAATTCATAAAGACCGAGTGATTTGCCTGGAATCACCAAATTCCTACGCAAATATGAAATACTTTGAAAGTTATCGTCAGATTGCATAATGTTGGCTGAAAGTTGTTAAATTTTTTGTGGTCTGGATCCATTTCTTTGGGTATCCTTAAACTTTCAAATTTTATTGATAATCTGATTGGTTAATAAAAGTCAATCATGAATCTATTGACCAATCAGAGTGCTGAAATAAATTTTTTCAAGGGAACAAGATTTCAAAATTAATGGATTGACCACAAGACCTTTTTAGCTGTTTTTCTGACCCAAAAGATCTGAATTTTACAACACACACTACTGAATTATGGGATGACAAATTAAAGCTCACAAGAATGGATGACTGTGATTATGAGAAATGGAATGCTTGGAAAAAAATATTTTCTGCGGACATGGTCAAATTTTTTTTTTGGAGGGGGGATCATTTGGTTCCAAAAATTAATTTTAATTTTTCTTTAGAGCGCTTCAAATGAAGTTTGTTTTTTGAAAATCATTTCTGGAAATTGGCGCTTAACTTATTATTTTGTATGGATGATACTTGTTTTAATAGAGAGAGGCAGTTGTTAATGGTCTTGTGAGTCAGAAATTCAGGCAAAAAGTCTAAAAAAAAAAAAATAATTCAACAGACAGCCATTTTGTTGCGGGACGAGGAACTTATAAGGGAAATATGTAAAGCATGGATTTCATTGGTTGAAAATACTTGAATCAATAATAGTAATAATAATAACATTCAAAATTCTTTTGTTAACATTCAATAGATAATAGGACAATACATTGATGTCAGTGACATATAACCAGATGACATAGTTGTGACACAATGTCAATTGACATAGTGATGTCAGAATGACATTTTTATTGACATATATCAATTGTCAGCATAAAGATGCATGATAGAAACTGACACATTAGTGCTGCAACAATGTCAAGATGAACAGATATCAAGAGTGACATTATGTCAACCAGCATAAATTGGCATAGAAGTGACATGATGTCAAGAAGCTTAAATTGGCATAATAGTGACATTATGTCAAATAAAATGTCAATATGTTTCTAATAAGTCAGTGCAATGACTTTTTACAATGTCAAATAAAATTATGTCAATTGACACAGTCATGCCACTTATGTCAACTGGCATTGACATCAAAACTAACAAAAATCACAACAATGGGACAAGATATATATATAAATACTGTTACATATTCAACTGTTTGAACATTTAATGTAATAAAAACAGAGAAAATTCAAATTTCATCATGAAAATTCAAACTTTTGATATGCCAATTTTAACAGCTGGCATACAGTCACATTTTTTAACAAGAAATTACCCAAGAATTTTAAATAACCATTTATACAAGATTTTGTACAATTGACATAGTCAAAGTGATATGCCATTTGATAATGTCAGATTTTGATATTGCAACAAAAGTGGCAAAACTTTGCCACGATATGTGTATTAATAGTCCAAGGCACAATTTCCTGATAAAATTAATCAGAATAGGCCATAGTTATAGTGAAAACATTGCAAAAAAAATTGTCAGCCATTTTGAAAAATCGTCAGCCATCTTGGAAAAATGAAATAATTGAACTAAAATGCTCCTAATTCTACTTTCCTGCTCTCCATGATACAAAGCCTCCCTCCAATAGCACTGACAAAAAAAAGACACCTATCACCACTCTTCCTAAGCTGATTTAGCTCCTCAGAATCGGCACAATTTTTGAAAAATTGCCATGAAAGAGTTGACTCAAGAAAAGACTAAAACTTCTTGTTCCCTGTTCAGTGAGCTCACTAACTTTGCTTTATTGCATCTTTATTTAAAAATCCTAGCTGTCCTGATGAGGATTTTTATCCAAAACATGTGCCGACCGCGTAAGATTAGACGGGCTCTTATTACTTTCATAAACAGGAGTTGAGAAACCAAAAAGTGGGATAAGGTGTCCTTAGAATATTCTAATAAAGCTTGGTTTTAATACTTGTTATTGAGACAATAAAATTCTGTTTCTATAGCAACAATGTGGCACACCTTTAAAAAAAAACAAAATGGTGGCAAGTTGAAGCTGATTGGACGGAAACATTTTTAAAAACAAAAACGTTAAAACATGACATTAGTTTTGTTTGCACTAGAATACTGACTGTGTATAGAGGTGTGCAACTCTTTGACAATTTGTTGCACATCTCTTGTTTCTAAAAGCTACAAGCTTTGATGATAACATATATACAAAAAGTTCGATAATTTTCGATACTTATAAAATTTTTTGATGTAATTCTGCCGCCATTTTGTCATTGATTTTGCTCTCAACGTCTACGTCCATTCTACATAAGGTCAAGGTCATTCAAATGACAGAGCGTTTATTTTCATCCACCACCAAAAAAATGTTGTTTTGTACAAATTAGTTTTGTGTATTCATTAATTCTTTACTCTGCATTCCTTTTGGAGATATTCACCTTTGACCCCCCTAAATTACCATATTCACAAAATAAAATGATCGCATTTGTAAAAGTATAAAACTACATAAACATCATCTAAAGCAGGCATTCGATAGAGATCTACTTCCCATGCGAGGTGCATTCATAATCCATCGCTTTTTTTAAATAGGTCAAACATACTAAAATTACTTTCATTCATCGAAGACTTCCACCAAGCATACGGTAAAAAAAAAAAAAATTGGACAAAATACCATACTGTAAATACTTTTTCTTAAATAATTTTCGTTTAAATGATCTCGTAACTTTTTCGTTTTCCAATATTATTCTTAAGCGGCATTATTCGATGTTTAAAGTCCTACAAAATTTTGTAGAGTTCACGAGGAAAAATTACGAAGTTACGAGTTCATCAAACAATATCAATTATATTAACAACTTTTTGTGTCGTCATGACAACAAGATACGAGATTTCATATATTCCACCATCTTGGATTTAATTTCGATGGTTACTGCATTCGTTCTTGAATCTGTTGGGCTTGGTAGAAATGACCTGCGGCTCCAGCTGCTATGGGCTGAGGAACAGCGTAAGTGTATGCAGCTGGGACGTATCCATTTGTAGTTGCCGATGTGTAGGGATACGCTTCGTACCCGCTTGCAGCATACTGTTGCGCATAAGCTGAAGAGTAGTCGATGGCATATTGGGAAGCAGCTGTTGGTGATAAAGGCGATTGGGGAACGGCTAGAACTCCTCCTCCTGGTGCAGCAACGTAAGCTGATGGATACACGTACTGTGGATACCTGAAATGGATAAGAAGAGGACATTTTGAATAAATTGCTTTCTAATTTCCGAAAATGACACAAATTACTTGAAACTATGCCTTTACAATTACTATAACTATTACCAATGCCTTTACAATTACTATGACTCTAAAAAATGCCTTTACAATTACCCTTATCAAATTACTCGAAACAATGCCTTTACAATTACTCTGATCAATTCCTGTACAATTACTCTTAACAATGTTTTACAATTACCCTAAACAATGCCTTTACAATTACCCTTATCAATTACTCTGAGCAATTACTCTTTACAATTACCCTTTCAGTTACTTGAAACAATTCCTTTACAATTACTCTGATCGATTACTCTATACAATACTTTTACAATTACCCTTAACAATGTTTTTACAATTACTATGAACAATAAGCCTTAACAATTAATAACAATTAATCTACACAATGCCTTTACAATTACCTCTAACAATCAATGACAATTACAATTACTCTGAACAATGCCTTAACAATTACTCTTTACAATAACTCTAAACAATGCCTTAACAATTAATAACAATTACTCTTTACAATTACTCTAAACAATGACTTAACAATTAATAACAATTACTCTTTACAATTACTCTAAACAATGACTTAACAATTAATAACAATTACTCTTTACAATTACTCTAAACAATGCCTTAACAATTAATAACAATTACTCTTTACAATTACTCTAAACAATGACTTAACAATTACTCTTTACAATTACTCTAAACAATGCCATAACAATTACTCTTTACAATTACTCTAAACAATGCCTTAACAATTAATAACAATTACTCTTTACAATTACTCTAAACAATGCCTTTACAATTACCCATAACAATTACTCTGAAACTTACCCTTAACAATTACTCTGAAAAATTACCCTCAACAATGCCTTTATAAAAGTCTGTTGGGTTCGTAAATAAAAAAGATAATTTCATAGTTAAATGGAAACAGTAATTAAAAGTTGATGTATTCTAGGTGTTGATGATAATTTATCTAATGAGAAAACATGCTTTATCAATTAATCAAGGTTTTTCTCATTATTTTTACCGTATTTTGTCTAGTGTAACATAATGCATTATTTTTTTCAGAGAGAAAGGTCACAATCGAAAGTTAATAAAAATGGAATTACTGAATGAGAAGGTCCTAAAAAAATCAATTCAAATATGTAAAAATTTAAATAAACCAAGCACTATTAATCCGAACTGCAAAACGAATGTACTAATGAACTTTACATGAGGAAGTATATCAATTATAAGTGAGTAACTATTTCATAATGAAAAGTGGTATCAGGTGTCTAGAAGAGTAAGCATACCCTGCCTGTCACAACCCCTCATATGAGGAAGTATATCAATCTTAAGTGAGTAAGTATTTTATAATGAAAAGTGGTATCAGGTGTCTAGAAGAGTAAGCCTTCCCTGCCTGTCACAACCGCTCATATGAGAAAGTATATCAATCTTAAGTGAGTAAGTATTTCATAATGAAAAGTGGTATCTGGTGTCTAGAAGAGTAAGCATACCCTGCCTGTCACAACCGCTCATATGAGGAAGTATATCAATCTTAAGTGAGTAAGTATTTCATAATGAAAAGTGGTATCAGGTGTCTAGAAGAGTAAGCATACTGCCTGGATCCAAATCCGTTATAATTGCTTTTTGTATTTTGTTGGATTTTGATTTGATTTTATCATATCTTTTCAAAGATATTTTTGAGGGTATCCATTTTTAAGTCCAAGTTTTAAACCTTAAGGCTACTATGATAAGAGCACACTTTAAAAATGGATACCTCCTAAAAATGCTATTCTACTTAAAACCTTTAACAAATAGGTCAGTGGTCTGACTGAAACTCTGAGTAACAACATGTTTCAGGTTCTGTTTTAAATCATGCAAATTTTTTACTCGAATCACAATCCCTCAAATAGGCAAAGGCGTAGCCATATATATTATTACATAACAAGTTTCCTTTTCGCCTATTTGGATTTCAAAATGGCTGTCATCTTAGTATAAAAAAAAATTAATAAGAAATATTTCATAGGTATTGATTGAATTATAGCAGACTTGTTTCCCGTCGATTATAGATTGGATTAACAAGTCTTTTAATCCTATATCAAAGGCTTCAGGTTATAAAAGATCTTGTCTTCCAGCCCTGTTTTGTCAGATTTTTCTTTCTTTAAGTGTTTTCTTTGATTGAAGATCTTTATTTTTGCACCCAATAACCTTTGTGAAATCTTATCTAAAAGGAAGTTAGCCTGAAAACTTTTCACGTTTGGTGCCCTTTTAAATCAAACCTTTTTTACTGTTATCTGAAACGTTTGGTGCCCTTTTTTTAGTCCAATCTTGCCCTGTTAACCTTTTTGAGATCTTTTGCTATAATTTGAAACCTTTAGAGACCTTTTTAAATCCAACCTTGCCCTGTTAACCTTTTTAAGATCTTTTTGCTGGTATATAAAACCTTTGGAGACCTTTTTAAGTCCCTTCTTGCCCTGTTAACCTTTTTGAGATCTTTTGCTGGTATATAAAACCTTTGGAGACCTTTTGAAGTCCCTTCTTGCCCTGTTAAACTTTTTGAAACCTTTTTGCTGCTATTTGAAACCTTTGGTGCCCTTTGAAGTTATGAGTTGCTCTGTTAACTTCATACTGAACTGGGACACCAATAGCAAGCTTTAGTGACGGAGGCAGCAGGCTTTAACTCTGCCAGAGCCCTCTGTTGTTCAGGCACTCTTATCAAGACCTTTATGTGTTTAGTCTGAAACTTTTTTTTGTGTTTTTTGTAAAATCTTATATACTCTTACAGCAATCAAGTTGAATTTTTCAGGCCAGAAAAAGTAAAGATTTTCGGATTACCATTTTAGGCAGATTTTTAATTATGGAAAGTAACAGGTGAATAGACTTCATATCTCACCTGTTCAGTCCCCCAATTCTTACACAAACACCTTCATTTCTTTGATATACTTGTTAATGGTTCAAATATATCTTTAATTGGTCTAGTGTTATTTATGAGGCCTGATTAGGGAAAATTCTATAGTGTGCTCTCTTTCTTGGAGTTAAAAAAAGTGTCTAGTCGTTTGGATGGGACAATAAACCGAGGACCCGTGTGCTACAGGCTGTGCACGTTAAAGATCCCTCGACAGTTGGAAATCAATAAAGAGTAGGCTAATGCCACTGTCCTGGCAAAATTTCCCTCATAGCACACTGCATGGTGTTACCCGTCTTCATTAGCCCACATGGTGCAGAAAAGTAAGATGTAAAACTCCATTCATTTCATTTTATTTTTAGGAGGATGAAATAGGTTGGGGCCCATTTTTTGATATAAGCTCTGCTCCAGAGACCCCTCTGTAAGTCAATTCAATGCCTGTTAAGATGGGAGCCGCCTTAAGAGGAGGGGTCCGTGGATTTGGTTCAACCAGTTCAACCATATGGTAATTAAGCCACTGGGAAAAGCAGACCTGTGCACTTTTATGTCTTCATTTGGTGCGTGGCAGACACAAGGGCTGTGTTTGTTTGGTTTGACAGCTGGTTTGTTTAACCTCAATCTACTTCTTCGACACAAACCAAACAAACCCACGTCAAGAATACATCTTCATAATTTTACCTAATTCAATAAATTTAAAGTGACCATACTTTCCTGATGCAAAATTAAAATTTGCTTCACATGTTCAATATCTAGGCTGGACAATTTTACTCTCGAAAGCACTTGCCATGGTAACAAATGAGTAGTAATTGATTACAAAGGTAGTTTCAAAGATGTTCATGCCTGAAGTTAAGGATTTTTTTTCAGAGAGTCCACAAGTTCTTTTCAAATTGGAGAATTCAACTTTAACTTAAAGATAATGTATATTTAAAATTGCGAACTCCCTAAAGATTTAGTTCAGAGAATCCACATTGAGTTTCCTTTCAAATTGGGGAATTCAACTTTAACTTAAAGATAATGTGTATTTAAAATTGCGAACTCCCTAAAGATTTAGTTCAGAGAGTCCACATTGAGTTTCTTTCATATTGGGGAATTCAACTTTAACTCAGTGCACTTTATCAATCAAATGTAATCAATGTATCAATTTATCTGTAGAGGAGAAGCCAACTTTAATTTGATATCATTGATCTGACCTTGAATTAAAAATTATGATAAAAATTATGATATGATTTTACTTGATAGCAGTTGATAGCATTTGATAACATTTGATAGCAGTTGATAGCAGTTGATAGCAATTGCTATCTTTGTTTACGACTTACAATTGATACTTCTAGCAAAAAAGAAAAGAACATCCTACTTAATGCAGTGTGCAATGAGGGAAATTTTGTCAGGATATCAGCATTAGCCTACTGTTTCCAATTTCCAACTGTCGAGGGATCTTTAACGTGCACAGCCTGTAGCACAATGGGTCTCGGTTTATTGTCCCAACCGAACGACTAGACGCACTTATGCCTGGTAAAATACTTGAAAATATTTTATTTTGGTTGGTTACGCCAATTTTGCCAAAAAAACAGAAACAATCACACCGAATTCTGCTAATTGCAACTGAGTGCCAATACTAATGCCTGTGTTTCAATTAGGTATATGATACTAATGCCTATGTTTTTTCTTGGCTGATTCAACTAGTTTCCCCAAAAAATATTCAACGACGAAAACAAATCACAATATATTCTGCTAATCACAAGTGATTACCAATACTAATGCCTGTGTTTCAATTAGGTATATGATACTAATGCCTGTGTGATACAGTTAAAATAACAGAATGTTTTGGTGTACATCAATTTCGTGTGGGTGTATTTCGATAGAAAACGTAAACATTCTATGAATTACAGAAACAACGTCTGCTGAGACGTACATATCTATCCCAGAAATCTACATCCACCTCTCACACTCCTGGCAAGGACCCAGACAACAAAAGTTTCAGGTGATAGAACTCGAATGTTTTTAGACTTGTCTTTCAGTGACATGCTTATCTTGTAAAATCTAAAATGAGTTTTTGCCTTATTGAAATTTTCAATTTGGTTTTTCACTGCTTCGATATAGTGCCTGAAATTCCAAAATTTTTGGTTGCTAAGGTGTGGGGATGGAACATATTCGTTGATGGATTGTCATCGAAAAAGATTTTGCAGTTATTGTTAACTTTGATTTTGGTTTTTTAATGCTGCGATGTATTTGAAATTCCAAATTTTTGGTTGCTAAGGAGTAGAGACAGAACATTTTGATAGTTTTTGGTGTTTCCAAAGAAAAAAATCGAAGCTATCTTAACATTTGCGGGGACACATACAATAATGGCGCTGCATGGAAAATCAAAGCTAGAATTTAGGCGGAACCCAAAAAATCCATCTAAGAAAAAAATCAAAGCAACACTAAAATTTCAAAGAAACAATTTGAGTTACGACTTCTGCAGCTCCACAGAAAAAAAATCGCAGCTAAATTACGCAAGGAAACAGACTACACAAATTTCTGCATCATCATCATTCACTGTGTAAAAAAGAATGCAGCAGACGTACATCCCCCGCTCATTCGTTACTGTCTCTAATACGGTGATTACAAAACAAGGTAATTACAAATAATACACAAGTGTGCCAACGTAAATGATTAAGTGAAATCATTATAGTGTAATTATGGGAAGCTTGTTCTGACATTTTGTGTTCATTTTCTTGTCATTAGTTAATAGCTGTTGAAAGCAGACACCGTGCAGGCTCACGAAAGCACTGGCCAAATATAGATTTGGCAAATTTTGTTAGGAGCTAAACTTTAAGTGCTCAAATGAAATGAAATTGAGTTTTATTTTGTACTTTTGTACACCTATTTGGGCTAATGAAGATATCCAACACCATGAAGTGTGCAATGAGGGAAATTTCGACAGGACAGCGGCATTAGCCTACTCTTCTTTCATTTCAAACTGTCGAGGGATCTTTAACATGCACAACCTGTAGCACACAGGGCCTCAGTTTCTTGTCCCAAACGAATGACTGGACACATTTTCCATGTCAGCCCCTCCAACTTTAAATTAATATTAAGTCAAATCTCTTAAGACAGGGATAGTCCAACTTTAAAACGATCCATATGGAAACAGAGAACTTCCGATGAATCTAAAACAAGTGAAGCCGATATCCTAGATCATACAACTGCAAAACAATGACAACAAAAACAAAAATGGAGATAGAATTGAACTTTTAAAACAACATCTCTACAGACGCAAAATATTGATTCTCGGCCTATTCATAATAGTCTTATAATGAAGATTAACTGAAGTTTTACATCCTATTTTTCATGTGTTATTCTTTTAATGAAATGGACTGGAATCGAAAAGAAACAAGCGGCCATTTTTTTCAAGGATAACAACTGAGGTTCACTTAGGATCCTTTCTACGAGCTGGACCTTGACCAAACCTCTTGCTATTGATCTTTCTTGGATTATCTGTACCCATTTACAGCTGGGTTGACTGGAATAATGGGGATCCTGTCTACCAGCTGGTCCTTGACCAAACCTCTTGGCATTGATCTTTCCTGGATTATCTGTACCCATTTACAGCTGGGTTGACTGGAATAATGGGGATCCTGTCTACCAGCTGGTCCTTGACCAAACCTCTTGGCATTGATCTTTCCTGGATTATCTGTACCCATTTCCGCCTGACCAGTAGACAGGCGTAAACTACTAGCTAACTTAAAATTCAGGAATCTTTCATTAGATGAAAGGTAAAGATATTTACGGTCAGTGAAAATCGGCAGGGAGTCCACTTAACTTATCAGTGATCAGTTTAATACTTGAGTGGTGTTGAAAACCGCCATGTTTCCACCCAAATTTCAATAATTGCTTATCTTGTCATCATCTACTGATTACTTTCTGCACCTCACTAGGAGGTCATTTGAAGAGCTCGAATTATCTGTCTGAAACTAGCTAATAATAATAGATTCTGGACACATATGGATTTGAAGGCTCAAATTTCGACAGTAAGGTTTGAGACTAAAGTATGATTGGTCAAAAATATGGCACACCTGTCCCTTTAAGGTCCCTAGACTGGATTTAACAAATTCAAGCTTCTATTTTGACAGTTAAAAATTCAGAATGATGCAGCAAATGTCTTTGAACTTCACAAAATTTACTTTTTACCAAAAGAGTTTGGAAAAAAAATGAAATTGCGTCAATTACATACTGGTATCAACTCCTCTTCCCCCAGCGAAATATATACTCCGATATCTTTGTGATATCTTGTTTTGATTGGATGATCATTTCACTCATCTCCACAGGGGGTCATTTTTACCTCATTTCTGATTTATTACCTTACGGTCTGCTTATCCATCAAATAACAAATATGGCCGCCAAATGACGTCTGCAAATCTCATCAACTGAGAGTTTGAGATACTTTAAATTCACCACCATCATCAACCTCTGCTCATCATTTTTACTTTTTCACATCTGGCACGAGTTTTCAAATTTAAAGGGACTTCTTTTCAGAAAAAATTTCTTCAAATGGCAGTGAACTTTTGGCTAAATGGTATTTTCAATAGTGACATCATAGTTTTGGTAAAACTTGGCAGTGAACTTTTGGCTTAATGGTATTGGCAATAGTGACATCACAGTTTTTGGTAAAACTTGGCAGTGAACTTTTGGCTTAATGGTATTGCAATAGTGACATCATAGTTTTTGGTAAAACTAATTTTGTAATGTTCAAATTTGTTACGCTGGTCTTTTTGCAGAGCTCACTGAACTGTTGCTGGGAATCGAAAATTCACTTTGATTCTTATTTCGAACTTCATTCTTGATAATCGTTAACCTTTTAAATAGATTTCAAAACAAATTGCAAATTAATTTTGAAAATGGCAAAAATTTGTTAACAGTTAATTTCAATTTGAAAATTATGGAATTACTTTAAAAAAACAAGCCAAATTACAGGTAATCAACATAAATTTTAAGTGATTGCAGTCAACTTTTGGCATAAATGGCAGATTTCAGTTGTTTTTATTAGGCTATAAATTACAAAGAAAACTTTCTTGGATTCAAAGGAAGGAATTTCAAGAAATTTAGAAGAATTTTCAAACAGAAAATGCCATTCTTTTGTTCTATTTCTGCTGAAACTTCTCCAAAAATCCTGCAAGTCTTTGAGAATTCCAAAAAGAGGAAAAATGGTCTTTCCAAAGAAAAAGTATTCAAAGGAAGGAATTCCAAGAAATTTAGAAGAATTTTCAAAAAGAAAATTGGCATTATTTTGTTCTATTTCTGCTGAAACTTCTAAAAATCCTGCAAGTCTT